TCAGGGCCTCCGGAAATCAAGACAGGGTAAAAAAAAAAATCAAAGTCTCAGTCAGCTTCTTTCAGCCCAGCCCTGCTTCGTCATAAGGTGCTAACTTGGTAGACTGTCTCCCACCAGGAGATCGTACATCCATCACATAGCGAGGTGAGAGGGATCACCCCCTACCGCCTGAAAGGGAGGAGTGAAAAGTCCACCCTTGGGGTGTCAGCTGGATCAAGCCACAGAAGAGGGCCAGGAGGGAGCAGTCGTTCGGCCTAGGGAATGGCAGCATCAGCCTTACAGTTAAAAGGGCCAAAGAGACTCGTACTGGACAATCGCAAAGGAGCGAGACAGTTTTCATAAGTAAAAACTGCTCTGGTTCTGGTGCAGTTTTCATTTCTGTGCAGTAACCATTCTTTGCCCATGGAGAGGAAAGGAGGCAGTATGTGTGGGTGGGGTCCTCTGGCACCTTGGGGTCTGCTAGGCAGGAGGCGGGGGAAGGCCAGACTAGCTCTCAGAAGTGTGAGATGTGAAGCCACACAGCGTTACCTTTGAAGGCTTGAGCTCCTTGTTAGCTCTTACTGTTCTCAACTGTTATCTCTGTCCAAATGGAATCTTTCCCTTTCAAGCCCTTGCTCTCTGAACTTCAGCTTGTGGTACAGCGAGAAAAGGCCCAATTATTCCAGGTACCTTTGCTGTATCATCATCTCCCTTTTCATGCTCTCTTCTCTGGAGAGTAGTTAAGTGAAAAGGCCAAATCCCACAGCACTGACAACCCACAGAGCCAGCAAAGAGACCCTGTTGTCACAGTGCAGCCTGTTGCTCTGCTTCTGGGTCCCCAGGCAGTTACGTCAGCCCAGGTCTCAAGCCCTTCCCTGCCGTAGCCTACTCCCTTGGGATTCCTCATGGCCGGACGAAGTCCTGACCCTTTTTCTAGACCCTTGAATGTCAGTGATGAAAGTAGCAATGGAAGACGCAGATGGCTTGCAGGTAGGGTAGGGCCCCTGTCAAGTTGAAAGCCAATACTTCAGACGCAAGTACCACTGAAGGGTGCCACTCCTGCCTCTCCTCACCTTCCCAAGGAGGGCTGCCCAACCGAATCCTTCATCATCTCTGCTGCCAAAATCCCCTTTCTTCCGGCCAGCACCCAAGTTGACACACCTCAGTTCTCCACCCTGGTTTATCTGCAATCACACCAAAAGGTATCACCTATCCTTATGTCGTCCTTTAGCACTGAGAGTACTCATATCCATGCTGACCTTATACTAAAAACTAACAAACGCCAAGTGCTTACCATGGGCTGGACACTCTTCCAAGCACTTTATGTGTATTAACTCATTCAATTCTCGAGATAACCTCAGATGTAGATGCTGTTAGTATTTCCATTTGAAAGATACAGAATCCAAGGGGCAGGTTTGTTCAAAGTCACCCAGCCAGGAAGTGCCAGAGAGGTATTTAAAACTAAAGTCCATGAACTTTATGCTATAATGCCCCCCTAATATTGCTAATACTACTGATAGGCTTAACAGCTCACATCGACTTACCATGTACGTGGATAAGTGCTTCAGGGACAGTAGCCCCTTTCATCCAAACAACACCCTTAGGAAGGTCCATTAGCCCCATTTTACAGATGAGAAACTGAAGTTAAGATAAATTATGTAACAACCCCCTCGGAGCCACACAACTGGCACATGAGAGAACCAGATCCCCTTGACCTTCACCTACTGCTCTATGCCATCTCCTTGGTTGCAGTGGATGGCTCATGGCATGGCTGGCCTTGATAGGTGACACCTCCCAATGGCAGTGTCACATCTCTCGGCAGTTGTTTTCTGGGTTTGATCTCGTTCTACCAGATCACTTGCCCCAGACTGTTAAATGCCACTCCTTCCCTGACTTCAGGCACGTCCCACAGTCTATTCACAGTGATGACATCATGCATCACGTCTTCAAGAAGCTTATTAACAAACGGATTTCTTTTTCTTTGGCAGGGAAGAGGCCCTCAAAACCAGATCCATTGCCCTTCTCATCCTAGGGATGAAAACAAAGCCCCGAGAAATCTTTTTGGCTCGTGGGATGAGGCAGGGGGAGGAGACCAGCTCAGGGATTTGGATCGACCCTGGACCACTTCAGCACTCACGTGAATTCCTTCCCTGAGTACTCTTCCTTAAGGCCAATTTTGTAGGCACCCAGTGGTGCGGCTCCTTTGGAAGGCACAGTTCGATAAACCAAAGTGTCTGTCGTAGCAAAGCTCTCTGCATTGGGGCAAGAATGACTGGCAATCGTTAAAGTGTGCTTCCTCTCAAGCCCTTTGGGAGAAACACCTTTGCCCCCAGACATTTTAGTAAAATGCTCAGAGCATTCATCTATCTCCGTTTCTTCAACATCATATCTAACCAAGTCTCCAACAAAACAGCTGTTTACATCTTACGAGGCACCCGATTTAAAAAGCCTGTTTCTCAGGCATGACGGAAACCTCAGCTCGTCACCAGGATACACTTTAACGCAACTCCTTTTTGCGTTGAAGCTGAATGGCCAAAACACAGGGAGAACTCTGCTTAGATTATATTTATGGCAAGAAATGCAAAAGGAAAGAGAGAGAGAAGCTTAAATGGGGAAATAATGCTCTCTTTTTTTACAGACAGCAGGAGGAAATTGATATTCTCCCTGCCGTGGAAGGTCAAAATGCCAACTTTGAATTGAACTGTAAAGACTAAATTCTGAACAATTACTCTCTGCAGCAGTTGTAAAAATTTCAGCAAATTGCAGCTGTCTTAGGTCTTTCACCCAGAAGGCCTACTCATTTCCATCAGTAGAGTTCACCCTCCCTTCCAACCTGGCATGTCCAACCTAGCACTAAATCCCTTTGCAAAATCTGGCCACACAAGGGCGCGGCCAAAATCAAGGGCAGCTCAGGCAAACAGCACAGACACTGGGTTCAGCTCTTCTGAAAATCATCTTTATCCATTAACCGTTGGAAAAAGTCATAGTTTGAAATTGTTTCAGCGGCCTGGCAATGCTTTTAAAACATGATAATCATCATACTTTACTCCTCTCTGAAAGGTTAGTTTAATCGTAGATCACAAAAAGAATGGTTTCCACAGATGCATAATGGTTCATCTGTGTCACACTTGAACTAAATGCTTTTTTAAATGGAGCTGAAATTATTTTGATGTGTACACAGTCCCGGATTTCTATACAACCTTTTTTAACCAGCCCGTCAGGAACCTTGCCTCTACAACCTTATTAATAATTCAGATGTGCTGATGACTTTAAAAGATCTATGGGATTGAAGCTTAGGGGAAAAAAAAAAAAAGCTCTGCTTGACAAAAAGATAAATGAACGTAGAAAGAAGCTGTAGGAGTCTGGCAAGCTGTAGATCATCTCAGAACAGATTGTAACTTTATCATTCTGTCAGGGGGAATAATTTAAAGCACTTAATCAGTTAGCTTCACTGTGAGGATGTAGCATTATGAATTCGTATCGTCCAATCTGTTCAAATCAAAGTGAACTTAATTATAATAGGTGAGAGAGCCAGTGCAGGAAGGAGAGAGAGAGGGGTGGAGAATGATCCAAGAGGCAGGAAGTTTCCTGGGGGGGTGTAAACCAAGCTGCCGAACAAAGGTTAGTGAGTGAGCTTTCACCAAGGCTCATCCTGGCTCCAGCTCGGTGTCTACAATGGGGGCTCAGGGTACTGGACACAGCAAGAGGAAGCATGGTCCAAGGAGAGACAAGCAGAGTGGTCATGAGCTGACCATACATACCGGATCTATAAATCATTAGCCATGCAGGGACACACACACACACACACACACACACACACACACACACACACACGGCCCTCTATCATGTTCAAGCCAGGAGAGCAATTTTGTTAACGTATTCATCCAGGACCACTGACAAGGCAGTTATGAATTGCTCTGATAGGCAGAAAAGAAGGCCGGAGAGGCCATTGTCTCTATAGCAGGGGGTGTGTTTGAAAGCTTTTTCCCTTTTTCTTTACTTTTCCTAAGCTATTAAAATGAGGCATACGATTCTCAAGTTAGAATGCACTAATGGCCCCAGTCCCTTTGTATCTGTACACATGGCTGATTTCCCAGAAAATTCCAGTCGTAGAAAGAGGCGGGGATGAGGGCTGAGTCTTATGAAATAGCACTAAACTGCCAGGAGGATGCTAGGCCATTTTCATCCTCACCCCAGCCTCTGAATGCCCTGACTCAGCATTCTCTTTCAGCCATCTCTGGATTTAGGGTGGAAATGAAATGCCAAGATTTCGTCAAGCTCCCTTGTTGACAGCTTGGGTGATTACAGTCGGTTAAGACAGTGCCACTAGGAATTCTTTTCATAACTTTAGAGCAACATAGAGTTTTCTTTCTTGAAATTACAGCCATCTCAAAAGCTTCTGAAAACATTGATTGCTATTCTGATTTTTCACCCTCATTGACCAGCAAAAATCTGTGGGCTTACATTAAGATCCCCAAAACTGGCTGCAGAAGAAACAAAAGAGTGGTATCATTGAGATATACCTTTAAGTATGCTCGTACAAGCAAAGAAGGAGGTCCTGCATAAGATTCTAGATCACTCAGTCTGTGGAAGGGACAGTGTCCCTCAGTTTCCACTCAAATCAACATGGATGCACAAATCTTTCTTTAGGTGCAATGCCCATACCTAATATTTGTTATATTCGCCATCTCCTCACCACCAAAGCTTTTTAGGCCAAGAAAGGAACCCCAGAGAACACTGCCAGAGTTAGTCTCCCAACCCCTCTTTATTCTCTGAAGTCCATCCCTGGTGCCTCCAAGTCCCACTAGCCCATTGGTTCATCACTTGCTACAGGCAGCTGAGGTATGTTTCAGGTTCTGGGGTTCTCCCTACACTGCACTGTCTCTCTTACCAATTACTCACTGTCAGCTTCTCTCAATTACCTTTTTTGCATTTTTCAATTAACTTTCCAAAGTCTTTGCCCTAGGACTAATTAAGCTTCTCATTTCTCCTTCTTGTTCTCTATCCGTTTCGCCCTTTAGCAGAAAAGAAATGGTTTACAGATGAACCGGATAATGCCTATCCCAGAAACATTCAAATCAAGCCCATGAGTACCCACATGGCTAACCAGATCAACCAATATAAATCCACAAGCAGCTTGATTCCACCAATCAGAGAAGTTGAAGATGAATGTTGACTCCCAGGAGACCAGAACTATTTTTTTAAAGCCTGACAAACTTCATAAATGGTGACGTGACTTTTCTTCCTCTTACATGCTGAATCACTGGTGGAAACGTTAGGATAAGCAAGAATTGCAAGAAAAATAAAGTAGACAGATCTTTCTCTTTGCCTTGAATATTGCTTCCATGTATTTTGGAAAAGAAAATGGTTTCATTTATATATGAACATACTAAAACAGTCATGTATAGCCTCTAGCATTTTAAATTATTTTTATTTATTAGAAGGAAAATATATTTTTTCTTTTTTTTCCATTGTCATATATATATTCCCTGTATCTAACAATGCAAACTCAAAAGGAATGTGGCCAGACTCCTTATGCATATTTCTCTTCTTTCTCTCTTTTTCTTTGAGGAGAATGATGGTCACCACCACAGTTAATTATAATTAAGGGAAATGGATTGTTAAGACAACTTTAAAACGGTCCAATAATATAAACATGTATTTTAGTAAATTTAAAAAAGAAGACAAAAGAGGGCAGGTGAATTTCCTAGATGGGTATGTATTTTGGCTGTACTGACACCAGCTCTTAATAAATGGAAAGTTACTTATTTTCGAAAGTCATATTTTTGTAGTTTTAGTTTCCATCCTGTATTTCTCACCTTTTGTTCATATATTTAAAGGGAAGACCTTCTTGCAGCTTTTCTACAAATGCCAGATCGGGTTTACCCTGCCAACTAACAATACCAGGAGGGTTGTGAGCATGCCTGGGACATGGAAGTTGAGGACCAGATGCACAGAAGACATTTATTTCTCTGTTTGTTGTTCTAATGGTGGGGACTCCTTCCTACGTGCTGTTATGCTTCTCATTTCATATCTCCAAACCAACCAAGCAGTAATTGCAACTTTGGAAAGGTCTGGTGGACTCTCTCCCCATTCCCCAAGTCCAGGGCTTTTAGCCTGAAAGTTTGTAAACACCAATGAATAGTTTTACTTAACGATAGGATATGATAACACATTCATGCTATTCACTGAGTTTTTGTGTAAAAGCCAGAAAAGTTCCATGATCAAGGAGATGACTTTTGCCCAGATCTAAATTTTGCAGGCTTTCCTTTAGTTGCTGGGACAAAACACACTAACTTGTTACAGCAACCTAAAAAATAATAACAACAGAAGGACAGCAATGAATGCACTTAATATAGACTGTTAGAAAAAGCCTTTGAAAATTACCAGCAATGAAATCTAACGTATCAGCCACTTCAAACTGTGGTCAAAAAGATTCTTCTAACCATCAGACACAATTCCGATGTCTCCAAGCTCTGCTGTTGCTTGCATGCTCAGTGTAACGGTGTCCCAGCAATTGTTCCATTCCAAATGATTTTCAACTTCAAAATGATCAATCTTTGATAGAAACATCAGGATCTCTGGAGCAGCATGGATGTGATAGTGATTTTTATTTTCTTAAAAATGTAAACTGTGGACACTTGAAGAAACCAAACTAACCAGAATATCCCCCAAAGTCCCATGCTATCTATTCCATTAGGCCATGACCCCGTGGTACGTAGTATGTTACAGCAAATCAGATCAGAGCCAAGCAATGAAATCATCATGAAAACATAGGTCCACTAAGTACTCCAATTACCAACGTAGGCAAAATGAGCTTCCACCTCTGTCCCGTCCCTGCAGAGCCAATGTAGTTGTGTTTCCACCTTGTAGGCGTCGTCCTAAAGTGGCTTGTCAGACTGTGGTTACCCTGTCGTCACATTTTTGTAGAATTTGTTCTATAAAAGTATCGTGAATATAATGTATGTCCAACTGGATTGTTTAAAAATTACTTATAATCAATCACTAGTCTACTCGGCAGACTAAACTGACGTCAGCATTCTCTTCAGGCTTATAAACATTTCTTGGTTTCCAACAGAAGTAAAATGGGTTTGTGGGGCGAAACCCTTGCTGAGAGTTGACAACTTTCCTGAAAGCTAGGCCTTTGCTACACAACGATTTTGTATTGGGTTCACCTTAGTACATTCTTAGTACATCAATCCACGCTCTTCTTTCCTTCATGAACCCTAGTGGGTTCCTGATAACTTGATAACCATTTCTGAATTTGTCTTAACTATTTGGTCTCCTCTGGCAGGCACTGGTGACCACCACCTAAATGCTCTTCCATTAGAGGAAGTTAGGCCACGGTGTCCCATGCCTGCTGCCCTCTCTTCCCCACCTCTCCAAACCAATGCACGCTGAAAACAGAAGAAGTACAAACCCCATGCCCTTTATGGCTAGAGATTTGAATCTAAGCTTTTTTTTTTTTTTTTTTTAAAAACCAAAATGGCTAAGATAGTTTCCTGGAGCAAGGGCTCCCCTCCAAAAACCAATTGGCAAGAGTCCATTTTCTTCTAAGGTAGAGCAAGGTTGTGCTGTTTTGCCTTTGTAAGAATGAATTGTTTGGGGCCAGAAAATGAAATAAGACATTTTTTAAAGGGAGTATACAAAACGACTGGCTGGTGGCTCCTTTGGCAAAAACTGGTACCCAGTAGACGGAAAGTGAAATGGAAACAGAAACGAGATCGTAAGATCATTGAAGGGCTTGAAGGAATGCCAGAGCTTCCTGATTTGTTTCTATTTGTTGAGCCCTCTGGCCCTGAGGGAATCCTCACCTCACCACGCTCTGACAGACCTATCTTCCTGGCTACGTTCAGCACAGACCAATGATGGCCATCATTGGTATAGTCCATGTTATGAGGCTCTGAGGTCCCACCCCAGTTTAGGATTCCGGAGAAGCCATTTTCCCAAATTAGTAACTCAAGTGCTTTGGGAATCAAACTCACCAACAGGCTATTTTAAAAGCAGAAGGCACCTACTGATAAAAGCATCGTCACCATCATCATCTTTCTCATTAAGAAAACTTTTGCTTTCATCTGAGCAATTTTATATTTTAAAATAGCCCCTTGAACCAAGATAAAACACCTTCAATAAAAGTGGTTGTGACTAAGGCATGTTGGAGAACACCCAGAAGCTCTTTCCTTCCAAAGCTTGGGGCATCTTATAATGTACTTTGTATAAAATTTAACTGAGGACTTTAAATAAACAGGGAATTAGAACTGTTTGGTTAGGATTAGAAAGGGAGAAAGTGAGAAGGCGTAAATAAGAACATTGGAGATATTTTCACGTTGAAAAGCGAAGAGTCCAAGTTTCCTGCTTATGGTTTAATACGAGGGTTCACAAGCTACATCTGCAAATAACTAGCTATCCACTCCGAAAATGTTCTTTCAACTCTCTGAGTCTCAGCGACCTCATTTGTAAATGAAAGTGATTCATCTAGATGACTCTAAGGTCCCTTTCAGATCTGAGAGGATGTGCTCTGAGTTAAAAGGGGGAGGTGGGGGGAGCATGGGAAAAAGGCAAGACCCTGGAGACAGTCTTGTCCTGTACTAGAATAATGGTCCTTCTTGCTGCACCACCCAAGCAGTCCTCCTGAGGGTAGTGCCTTTTCTGCTCTGGGCACATAGCAGCTATGTTCATTCCTCTGCTTTACATTTGGGAGTCTCCTTAGGTTCAAAACGCAAATTTCAAAATTCAAACTCACCTGAATCATGTTGATCTGATTTTTTCAGTGTGTTCCTAGGGTTTTCTTCTCAATCTCATCCTGGCCTGCCTTTTTGACTGGCTGAAGGCTCAATTTCCATCAATCCCTTCATTTCTAACCCATATGTCCAATCTCCAATATGCAGTTAGAGGCTCACAACCCCCAGATTTCTGCAGTTTTCCTCATTTTTATTTCCGCATGTGGATCTGGGCACTAGGAAGTTACCAGTCTTACTTCTCACTTCATTTCCCGTCCTCTGTTTATTTGATTTTTTTTTTCCCTTTCATTAGTACAACAAGTATTTCTTTGCTACTTACATTCATAAGTCTAATTTTCATCTACCATTTTTCTTTGTCAAAGAGAATCTCAGTTTAGAAAAAAGGAAGGAAGAGAGGTAGAAAGAGAGAAAACAATTCAAACCAATTGTGACGTGTGTCACCTTACTTATAGACGACTAAACACGTCATTCAAATTGGACCTGGAATTCCAGTGCAGAATCCGTCCATTTGCTATGGGGAGCAGAGGGAAAGTAAGATGAGACTTCAGAGAAGGGGCTAGAAAGTAAATTGTCTTAAGGGCCAAGCTAAGAGGTTGAGGCTTGCTCTAGAAACTCATGGAAAGCCACTAGATGTTTTAAACTAAGAGTGACAGACACCAATATCTGTGCATTTTTTAGGTTGTATATTTTGCGAAGTCAGTTCTTCCTGGAAGTCATCAAGAGCCGATGTGCAGAGCTGAACATTTTCTCAGCAGCACGGAGTTCTAAAGGGTGCACACTCCCAAGTCCACAACTCAGCACATGAAGTCCTACCTTCCTCAAATAAATGTTATAGATCCTACTACTTGTAGAAGGTCAAATGGCAGGGAAGGGGCTGGTGTGGGGGCTGCTTTGAGGGCTGGCTGTTGGGGTCATTGGCTGTAGTTCTGGCAAAGGTTCTTTGTGAAAGGAACACTTAATTGGGACCTCAATAGAGGAACCCTGTGGAGGAATAGGAAAGAATGCAGACAGCTGAGAACTGTTGTGTTAATTAGTTCAAAGTGGAAGAAACTGAGTGTGATCTATAAAGGCAGGCTTTTCAGGCAAAAGGCTGGAGAGAGTGGAGCTGAGAGGAGGGCTACGGAAGGTCCTGTGGATTTGGACGTCAGAACCGCAGAGGTATGTACACAGTGGGGTCTATGGCTGGGTTCTCCAAAGGAGGAAGGGTAGGTGTGGAAGATTTTTTGAAGGCAGAGAAACATGGGGGCTACAACCATATTTTTTCAAGGGCTAAAAGGAGCAAAACAAGTAGGTACTCCTGGAAAA